ACCGCTCAGTAAGCGTTCACCTGGGCAATAGCTCCCCGGTTTCATTCCGCCCACATCCAGCTTAGCAGAGGACCCACACTCATTCTCGCTGGTGCTTGGCCCCCTGTCAAGAGCTCCTGCAGGCAGCCGGGAGCTGCTCCTAATGGGCTGCCAGGGGATTTGTGCTCTGACAGCCGGGCGCTGACAGCTCCCTCCAACCGCTTGCTCTGCTCGCTGGGCTCTCCTTCCCAGTCAGATGGTGGAGGATGCTCCCACCGCTGTGGGGAGGGGGCTGGCTCATTTTTCTTTCCCCACCAGGTGTTTGTGATTGTTCGGGAGAGTTGTGGTGATACTCATTGCCTTGGTGGGACTGATAAAGCCCTGAGGACAACGGTGGTGCAAGCAGAGGGTCCCCAGGCAGAGGAGCCCCTGAAGGGTGATGCAGCGGGATGGGGATGAGCAGAGGGGAGGGCTGGGTGTATCACAGGACAAGTCTTGTCTTGGCTCCAAGAGGGGGCCTAGAGTGGGAGGTCCATGCTAGCTGGGAATGCTGGGAGCAAGTGCCGATACCCCACAGGGCTCCCTCTCCAGGGGCTCGGGGGCCTCCCATGCTTTCTCCTGGCTGAAACATCATCTCTCTTCTCTGTTTGATGCAGGGCTCCTCTGTCTCCCCACAGACCCCACGCAGCAGCTGGGGAGGGCTCCTGTGGGCTCAGCCCCATCCCAGCGGGGGCTGCGGCAGCCGCTGTGGAGGGACTGGCCTGTTGCCCACCAGCACGGAGCAACTCACAGCCTGCCGTCTTGTATGGCTTTTTATTCCTATGTGATTATACATCCCACTTCATATAGGGATTGAAGCCGTGCAATACGCCGGGGTCCTACGGCGGAGAACAGCCTCTGTGCCATGGGAGCCGGCTTCAGAGGAGCCACCAAAGCTATCCCCTGGGGTGCTGGAAGGAGGGCTGCTGGGCTCACACCAGGCTCTGTCCTGCATCCCGGGCTCCCCAGCCCCCTTGAGGGGCAGGTGAGGGGTGCCAAGCTGCTTTGGGGCGAGGACAGCACAACCCCACTCCTTGCACTACACCCCTTGATTCTGCACCCCATGTGCTGCAGAGCGCCCCAGCAGCTCATCCCTGGGGAGACCCCTGCTTTGATTTTGCCCCCGTACTGTCCCAGGAGGTGGGTGACAGCCTCTAGCAGCATCTGGGTACAGGCACTAGAAGGAGGTGCTGCCAGCAAGACTGGGGAGGAGGATGAAGGAGAAGAAGAGGAGGAGAAAGGAGCTGGGGAATGGCCACAGCAGCAAGGGCTGCCCCAAGCATGACGCTCTTCAAAGTTTCTCAAGAGGCCTCAGCCACTCTTTCAAGGTTTGCGTTAAATCTGTCACATTAGCGAAAATAGTGAAAATTACCCAGCTTGTGGAGGAGATGAAAGGCAGCCCCCTTCCAATCCCTCCATAAAGGAAGGGCCCCATTAACACCTAGTGAAATATTAGCCATTAATCAGGCTCCGTGCAAAATAAAACCATCCACATTTATCATTATTGGATCCTTAATGAAGTGATAATGGGAATGCTGGGGAGCTGTGATATTAATGTCTCCTAAGAGGCAAGAGCAGAGCCAAGAGCGGCAGCCAAGATTTTTAATTTACTGCCAAAAGCTCGTGCTGTTAATAACGCAGTTACTTCTCCTGGCCATTAGCACTGTTTGGCTACGAGCAGCCTGCTTAGGAGAGCAAATCATCCCCAAACGCACTCAGGATTGCTTGCCCGCTCCCTGCTCAGCAGCTGGGTGTGCTTTTCCCCAGTGGTTGTCCTTGTGTCCCATGCCCATGTGCAGGGACATGACCAGGGAGCTGTTGGACATCTCCACCCATCTCCCTCCTTCCTCTAGGCTAGCTGGTGTAGAAACAGATTTGCTTTTCGGGTAATAAAGGGAAGGGATTGGGTGCATCAAGCAGCTCTTATTGTCCTCACTCTTTCTGTGACTTGTTCCTTAGGCGCAAGCACCTTGGTCCCAGGATGGCACAGAGCTGGTCCCAGCATGGCCTGCACACTGGGATCACTAGTGAGTCACACTGGGTTTCTTCAATTGCCCGGGTACACTGACATGATGCTAATAACCTGTCCAGGACAGCACAGGCAAGCTGCAAAGCCCTGCTCAGCTGTGGTGACTCACTCAATTTCCCAAGGGGAAAGTCATCGCTTCTGGTGGCTCCAACAGCCCAGAAGCAAATTGTTGCTTGGCAGGTAAGCGATGCTATTGTGTCTTTAGATGCAACTGTCCTCTCACAAATCCTTGCAAAACCTGACTGGTGCAGCCCAAATACATTATGTCTCATGTGTGGGGTCTTTTGCTGCCAGCAAAGAGATGGCAGGTCAGAGGGAGCTAGCTTTGGGCTGGAGCAGCAACAGGCAATTCTGTGCTGAGCATTGTCCAAAGGAATTAAATGATGCCTTGTTTGTAAAGGGTGCACATGCTCCAAAGCTCCTTTCCTCCCTAGGCAGAAGATGGACGATGTCCACCCAAGCTATCCCTCAGAAGTGAAGCTTATCTTTATTCAGGTAGAAGCATGAGAAAAGTTTCTGTAACCTGGGTATCCTTGGTCAATCTCCCCCTGTCCTGTTATCTCCTCATTAGAAAAGAAGGGACAAGCACAAAAACCATACATGGAGGCCGAGCAAACGTAGATGCGAAGTGCACTTCAAACAGCTCCATCCTTTCAACAAACGTTTTATTAGCCTTCTCTCCTCTCCAGCACAAACTCATTTTAATCATTAGTGAAAAGCCACCATTTAGAAAGCAAGGACACTGCTCAGGGTACATGCAGTAGGCATTTCCCAGGAGAAGCCAGCGAGCACTAGCCCAAGGACTTCTCAACTTGACTGATGCAGCGCAAGGAGCAGCTCCAAGGACTAGCCCAGTGCTCAGCAATGTGGCCAGGCTGCGGGCAGAGCGCAGGGGTATGGTGGGCCTATGACAGTGTGCCCAGGCTGGCACGCTGACCCGCTACTGAAGATGCCAGTGACCCTTCTGCTAGGCACCCCAGCCCGAAACCGGAGTCACTCTGGATTTCACTGGAGCAGAATTGGACAGGAAGCTTTAACAACAGTTTGGAGCCAGCTCTAGCCATTTCTCCTGGCCACAGCCCATACTTTTTGGCTGTATCACTGCGCGTGTTAGTGCCCCTGCGGTGCTGGCATGTTGGGCATGGAGGAGGTGACATGCCAGCAACCTCCGGAGAAAAGCGCACGGCACAAAGCAGCTTCTCCTGCACAACCGTCACTTGACATTACGGGGGCACAGCGAGCTTTATAACGCTTGGCAGGTTTTCCTCAGCAGATCTCAAAGCTGTTTACCAGCATGAGCAAGTTCAGACATGTTACAGAAGGCCTTCAGCCTCAGAGGACAAATGAGATGTGTGGATGAGTTTAAACCACCAGGGTAAAACCAGGGTTTTGAAATCCCCAGGCTTGTGCCTTGACACTATGCCTGGGCTGTGGCCCAGACAGTCCAGCTGCCAGCCTGGCACTGATACCAGGCACCATGATGGTCCTCCTGATATCCCTACTTGTTAGATATTGGCTTCAAAACTAAAGCAGGAGGTGTCGCATCCTCCTCAAAAATTCACCCTCCAATCCATCCTGGAGCAGGGCGCAGAACGACTGCTCAGTGAGACACCACGACTCACTGTGTTGGCAGGACGGTGTATTTATGTCACGAGATGAGATCAGCCACACGGAGTAGGTCGGTCTGTCTGGAAAGAGTCTGAGTCAAGTGTGTCCTATTAAATTAGGGCTGGATTTTCAAAGGAGCTCAGCTCCCACTTAGGCTGTGTAACAAATAGGCAGATATTCCAAAGGAGTCGGACGTGTTGGGTCATACTGGCTGTTGAGCTGAAGTCCTTTGAAAATCCAGCCAAAACCATCACCATGCCTGTTGCTACAGGCAGAGCCCTTCTGAAATCCAGCCCCACCGTGGGCTCCACATCCTGGGAAACCCAGCTCATCTCAGCTCTCCCACATACTGCACTGCAATATGTGACGAAACCACAATAACCACTACGTCCTTAGACATGTGGGGAAGCGGCTCCCTGTCAAGCACAGCTCCAGCAGCTTTGCCCTTTGATCAGCTCAGCAGCATGGGTCAGGAGAGCCAAGCGTGAAGGTTTCCTTGCCTTTTGTTCTTTGGAATTAGTAGAGTTAATCAGAGTGACAGCAACTTCTGCCTCAGCGCAGAAGAAAGGTCAGTGGCTCAGGCTGGATGCACGGCTGTTTTCTAGGCAGTTGGAAAACAACACTGTGAAAGCTCATCACATACGCGCCGCTGGCACTGAGGCTCTCCCGACAGGCATCAGCAGGGAAGATGGCCCTGTGGAGGGAAGGAGGCGGGAGGAGCTGTATTCCACTTGGGTGCTTGCCACTGCATCTCAAATCGTCCCCTTCCTTGTGTACCACCCTGTGTCACTGTGCACTTCTATTGTGTCATGCGTCCAGTATCAAATGCTTCTCTCAGCCAACATGCTCCTTAGCACGCTGCTGGGTGTACACCATGCTGGGCTGGGGGGCTCTGGGTTGCAGGGCACTGTGCTGGTGCATGGAGCAGTGTCCCCTTCGTACCATGTTCCCCCAGCATCTCCGTGCTTGCAGCTGGGCAGGCCTTGCTATTGCTTTGGCATCCTTCAGTCACTGTAATGTACTTCTGTGAACCTGTAAAAGCCCACTGCTGGGCTGCTCCTCAATTTCCTCTCAGCTTTTAACTATAGTTGAGGCAGTCATGAGAATGGTGGCTCTCAGCAGAAGTGTTAAATCTGGCCTCTGTGTCTGTAATATGACTTCTTACCTTCCTCTGATCACAATTACAAGTGCTTGCTTTTGCTGTGGAAACCCACTCATGTGTCTAATTTGTGGATTCTTTCTGTCAATGATATTAGCATCCTCAACAGTGAGCCCTAATTTAAGTATTTTACATTTGTCCGCAGTGTTGATGCCTTCATTTACCCCCAATCCTAATTAAATACATCTGGATTATCTGCAGAGGGAGCTCTCATGATCTCTCTGTGGCTCTAATTAAAATGGCCTGGATGTCCATGACATTGGTACCCGTCAAGCCTGTCACCAGAAGGTGATGCCCACCTTGGAACTTGCTGAAGAACGTGTAAGAGTCATTGTTGCTGAGAAAGGCCTCTGCATCGAGGCCCTCCTGCAGCGCCTCATCCACCAGCTCCGGGCTGCAGAAGGCCCCTGCCACCTCTGTTGGCCCATCCTGCCCGTCCGTTCCCCCGCTGAGGAAGATGATCTCACACCTCCCTGGGGGGCTGCTGCCTTCCGTAGCTTGTGCCCTGTGCAGCCCCAGCGCCACGCGCAGGGCCAGCTCCTGGTTCCTCCCTCCCTTGCCGGTTCCTTGAAGCTGAACGGTGGTTTCTCCACCAGCCAGGATGCAGACTGGTCTTCCAGGCCCTAATATTTGCAGGCCCTGCAGGAACTCAGCAAGGTTCAAACCCGGGATCTCTAGCTCTGCTGCCAGCTGCAGGAGATTCCCCCTCACCTTATCACTCAGGGGTCCTTCTCCGAGGCCAGCAAAGCTCAGGCAGACCAGCCAGATCAGCTGGCAGTACAGCATGGCGACGTGGCTGACTTCCCCACAGATTGCTGTGCTCAGAATCAGAGTTGCGTAGCCCAGGCCCTCGGCTTGGCGTTTGGCCTCGTCTAATGCCAGCATATTCGAACCGATGATGATGTTGCAAACGTGGGAGTAGTCTTCCGGAGCAATGGGCTTGGTGGGAGAGCAGGACAGGACTGTTTCCACTGACTTGGGCAGGTTGTGCAGGAGGTTGTATTTGGCGAGTATCTGAAGGCAGTCTTGCACGCTGTGGGAGCTGGCAGCAGTGGGCCCACTCGCTATGATGTCCAGGGAGTCACCAATCACATCAGAGAGGATGAGGCTCACCACCTACGAGAAGAAATGCCCACGGATTATTGTGGGAGGCAGAGACAGGTCACGCAAGAGCCCTGGCATCAGCGCTGCTCTGAGTTACACTTGTGTCACCCCCATATCAAAGCAGATGGAAACAGGGGTAGATCTTGGCCCATTGTTTTATGGTCCCGTGAGTGTCACCTTTCCCTTCTCAAACCCACAGATCTACAATGTCCTTTGATGCTGGACCGTCACACTGGAAGATGTAACCTGTGCCGCTGCACTTGTCAGGCTGGGAACCTAGTGTGGGTTCAGCAGTGGCACATGCTGAGAACAGCCCTCAGGGCAGCCAAGGGTCAGACCCAGCCTCAAAAGCATTGTGGTGGAGCACCAGCACGTTGCAAATGCCTGCTAGGTGAGGGCTGGGTCTGCTGAGTGGTGTGATGGGACAGATGACATTTGCCAAGTCTGAACTCCCTCTCTTCCACCTCTGTCTCACTGAGAGTTTGGTCCTCGGTGAAATCTGAGCCACAGAGTCCCAAAACTGTGTGCAAAGATCATTCACTCAGTAAGGAGAAAAACCCTGCAAGCATGCTTAGGTCAGTTAACTAAACTCTTATTTTGAGGGAAGATGGGTGATCTCTGGGTGAGCAGGAGCTTCCCTTCGGTTACCTGTGCGGGATAGGCGAGCTGGGCCAGCCCTCCACCCTTCAGCAAGGACAGAGTCTTCCGGACAACATTCAGCTCCTGTATGGCAGCTCCTCGGGAAGCCAGCATCTTTGTGAGCTTCTCCTTCTCTTCGAGGAGGATGGGAGGGATGGGAGCAGGCAGTAGGGCTGATCCACCCCCTTGGATGCAAAAGAGATGGCAAAGACATCAGGATAGCAAGAAAAGGATGACAGAAGGAAAGCAAGGCTGTTCAATGCTTGAGCCTTTCCTCTTCTCTCACCAGTGTGTGGAGGGAAGGCAGAGGTGATTGGGAACTATGCTAACATCTCTGGAGAATTCAGTCTTCTTCACCAACGGATTTAAATCACTGCTGTCCTGCACTGTCCACAGTCAGCTACACTTCACCCAGGCAGCATAAACCTCACCAAACCAGGATACCACGTGCTTGCAGTGTTATGGGGGTGACAGAGAAGGGTCAGCAATTGCTATCCCCACTACATCAGGCTACTAACGTGTCGTCACACTGATTTTCAAGGGCTACCTGGATGGGTGAGCAGGGAGCACGGCCTCCATGACTCACAAAGCAGTCATTGCTAAACAGGCAGAGACAATGCGTGCTTTGCTGGCTCCATTTAATCAGGACAGTGTGTAAATACACCAGCTATGGCTGCAGCAAGATTGGAAACTGCTGAACTGCAGTCATCTAGGCCTGGGAGGAAAGGAAAGGGGGAGAGAGTAACATGGAGGACAAAGCACACCAGTCCAGGGTGATAGCCTCATCGATGGAAATACTGTCTGATACAAGCAGGCATTGGAAATGCAGAAAAGAAGGCAAAGAAAAAAGGTTCTAATGGAAAAGTAGAATGGATGGAAAATACAGAGTAGAAAGGAGCAAGATCTGAGCAGAGCGTGAACATGCACAGAAGCGCAGCTGAAAGCTACTGTCAAAAGGCAAAGCCTGCTCAGAGATTTGAGACAAATCAGCATCAATAAAACATGATGAGCAAGAAAAACAAATGCAAATGCATGTGTTTCAATCAATAGCCAGGGATCTAGCTGAGAGGCAGGAGCAGTTGGGGACCGGCTGCTATGTGGGCGTGCACATGCATAGGGAGTCACAGCCACAGGGAGATCCTGTACAGGCTCCCTGAAGGGCTGAGGAGTCTCTTGGAGATCTCTGTAGTCAAAGGACAGGAGGAAACCCAGGGGAATCCCCAGCAAGTGCAGCTAGATGCCAGCCGCTTGGGTGTTCGCCTAACGGCACTATTTTCACTGCACCAGATCAGGCTCCAGCATCCACAGAGGAACAATCACTGAGCATAGGAGACCAAGGGGTTTCTACAGAGCTGCTCCAAGTCCCTGCATGCTTCTACCGTGTGACACCCTCTCACTCAGCCAAGCTCAGGATGGGGCGATGTCACTGCATTCCTCTGATGCACAATATCCACCCCCCTTACAGCCCTGGGTCTGGGGACAGCCTGGGGGGACAGTCTGGGGGACCAGCAGCCTCTGTGTGTCAGGGCTGACCCTGAAAGACATGCAGCTCACTGTGTTGGAATCTGGGGGCCTCATTTCCACTGGCTGGGAAACAGCAAAGGCCTGGGAAGAGTCAGTCCTGACTCTCAGTTTACAGACTCACATCCCTGCACAAATTCAGAGTGTGCAAATCCACCAAGTGCTCACTTCTCCAAGTCTGCATCCCCAGATGTAAGGAGGGAGCAGGAAGAAAGAGTCTCCTTGCCAAGGTGTGAGAGCAGCTGGCAGGCTGTGCCCAGGGCTGCCATCTCACAGTGGTGGCACAACCGCAGAACCCAGCCTGCGCAGCTCAGCCTCTCCCTGGTGCTGGGAGGCAGCATGCCCACTGCAGCAGCAGGCAACCCCATGCCCTCCCCTGCTGCATCCCTAAAGAAAGGCTGGCAGGAGAAGGGAGAGGAAAAATCAGAGAGGTGCAAGTGTCAGTGCTGAAAGGGCTGGCACAGCACAGTGCTCCTCTGCTGCACTGGCACGTGGGGGCAGGCCACTGGAGGGCCATCAGCAGAGCCCATTCCCTGGGATCCCCATGCTACCTGAGATGAGCACAAGGAGCAGGTCATCTGCATTCAGGCCCTCAGCCAGCTCCTGGATGGCAACTGCTCCCTTCAGGGCCTCTGGGTCTGGAAGATTGTTCTTGGCACCTTCGATGACCTGGATTTTGCTGTGTGGCTTCAGGAGCATCTCCCTGTTGAGGTAAGAGAGGCAAGCACACTACTGACATGTGCACCTATGCAGGCAGCCAGGCTGTCACTCAGCAGGAAAATGGGCCTGATACACCAGAGGTGCATGGCAACTGACCAGGACAGGGAGGTGGCCTTTGCTGAGTGTCTTCCCCAGGGATGGGGAGGCAGCACATCCAGTGCAAGAGAAGGGTTCTGTCACTGATGCCACCGGGACATGATGGAGGTTGAAGAACAGGGTGGTGTGGTGGATGGGGTGGGCACTGGAGCGAGGGCAGCTGGAAAGGACTGAAGGAGTTCACAGCAACATCCCACAGAGGATAAATCTGGCAGTCTACCCCCCCAGACTTTTCAGACACAGTCCCCCTTACTGCATTCCTGCTCGCTGCAGGCTCTCCTGGATGCCTAGTGGCACACTGATGACCCCCCGAACGAGGTGGTCTCCCAGGATCTCTTCTGCTGCTGCGGCCATCCCCAGCACAGCTTTGCCAAAACCCACCAGGTACAGGTCCCTCTTCACTGGAAAGGCCTGGCCCTTCACCAGCAGCTGAGGGCATCCATCTCCCTGGAGTTTCACAGCCCTCTTCAGCATCGGGGCCGGCTGGACAGTGCCCACTGCGCTGCGGAAGAGGGACAGTGCGTGCTCACGGAGGGACATGCTGCGCAGGATGGCTGGGCTGAGTCAATCTGCTTGGTGGGGTGGGCTTGTGCACGCTCTGCTGACACTGGCAAGGCCTCAAGAGCTGGGGCATCCAGCACCCTCCAACCTGCAAGGGAAAGTGAACATTTTCACTAGCAGAAGAGACAGGGCTGACTCAGAGAGAGCAGGGAGGGCAAAACATGAACCATGGAGCTCAGAATCACAGAATCATCTAGGTTGGAAAGGACCCTGAAGATCATCTAGTCCAACCGTTCGCCTAGCACAGTTCCCACCTACAGCATATCCTTAAGCTCTAAATCGACCCTACTCTTGAACACCTCCAGGGACGGGGACTCCACCCTCCCTGGGCAGCCCATTCCAACACCTAACAACGTGTTCTGTAAAGAAATGCTTCCTAATACCTAGTCTGAACTTTCCCTGGCACAACTTGAGGCCATTCCCTCTTGTCCTGTCACTTTCTACTAGGCTAAAGAGGCTCATCCCCAGCTCTCTGCAGCTTCCTCTCAGGTAGCTGTAGAGGGCGATGAGGTCTCCCCTCAGCCTCTTCTCCAGACTAAACAACCCCAGTTACCTCAGCCGCTCCTCATAGGACATGTGTTCCAGACCCTGCACCAGCTTTGTGGCCCTTCTCTGGACACGTTCGAGTAACTCTATGTCCTTTGTGTAGTGAGGGGCCCAAAACTGAACACAGGAATCAAGGTGCAGCCCCACCAGCGCCAAGTACAGGGGCAAGATCCCTTCCCTGTCCCTGCTGGCCACACTAATCCCGATACAAGCCAGGATGCCATTGGCCTTATTGGCCACCTGGGCACACTGCTGGCTCCTGTTCAGCTGGCTGTCAATCAACCCCCCCAGGTCCCTCTCTGACTGGCAGCTCTCCAGCCACTCCTCCCCAAGCCTGTAGCGCTGATGGGGGTTGTTGTGGCCCAAGGGCAGCCCCTGGCATTTGGCCTTATTGAAACTCCTCCAGTTGGCCTCAGCCCATCGCTCCAGCCTGTCCAGGTCTCTCTGCAGAGCCTCCCTACCCTCGAGCAGATCAACACTCCTGCCCAACTTGGTGTCCTCTGCAAACTTACTGAGGGTGCACTCAATCCCCTTGTCCAGATCAATAAAGCTCCTGTTTCCTCTAGATTAAGGTGCCATATCAACAGCATTTTCAAACCTCTCCCTAGGCAGGAGGGAGGGGAGGACAGTGTCACATTCAAACTACCTGTCAGCTTGTGGTTCCCCTTCAATCCCATCACCTCCTGCAGGGAAAGTAAGCCCTGCCAGCCAGCTTCTCCATCACTATAGATTTGCCACTGGCAAGCCATCATTTCTATTTGTTCAGCGTTTGACGCCTTTCCAAACTGTGTAAGCTGCTCTCTGTCCTGGAGAGAGCAGGGTGTCTGGGTAGAACAGCTTTTCACTACATTAACTCCCATCCTCCTGCTAGCCAAATGCTGATCTCATTCTCTGGCTGCTCATTGCCCCGTGTCCCTGCAGCATCAGGCACAGACTTAGAAGAAACAACAGGCTTGCTGGCTGCCTGATCCCTTGCTGCTGGTGGCCACAGAGAGACCAGTAATGAGGGTTCCCCACCAAACAGCAAATTAACACAAGGCTTCATTTGCCTTTATTTTTCAGGTCTCTCATTATCCATTAAAATCACATTTAGAGACCAAATAAGACTTCAGATCCAGGCAAAGTTGCCAGCCATGTCTGTGAAAGCCCATTTGAGCTAGTGTCTGCTGAGTATTAGCATTATATGCAACAGATTTGTGTGTGGACCGAAAGATTTCAACTGCTTAAGGGCAGACACTTGTCAGAGGAAAGGCAGCCCCAGCCAGCACACATGCATCTATTCCCTCCCAGCATTTCTTCTTCCTTCTTCTAACTGGTAGCAAGTTCACTGCTTGGGAACTCGAAAGATTTAAAGATCCTTATGATCTGCATCTCTCCCGCTCGTGGCAATTATGGCAGGCAATTAAGGCAGGGTGCCAGGAGGCTGAAGCAGTCCAGGCAACATACTCGATCACACACCCATTCAAATTACCTGAGAGGGTTACTCCTCTCCCTAGTAAATGGATGTGTTTCAAGTGTGAGGCCAGTGGCCGGCTTCTTCTGGGTGAGCTCATGAGTCCAGAGGTCTCTTTGTCCTAACACTCCCATAGCATTGCAAGGTGTTAATCATTAACCCAGACAAGCTTTCCAGCAGCTCCTCTGTGTCTAAATCTGCCTTATTTTGCTGTAAGGACCCAAAGGCTCAGTGAAAACCTCTACACAAGCACCACTCAGGCAGCGAAATTTGGGCACACTCTGAAATCTACTGGACAAGGGACTTGCAGGTGAAACTATATGGAGAATCATAGGTTTGCCAGAGAAAAAAATCTAAGAATCATTTAAGTTGGAAAAGACCCTTTAAGATCATGAAGTCTAACGCTAAATCATTCAATGTGCAAGAGAAACAGATTTTAAAGGCAAAACCCAAGGCAGATAAACTATCTATCTATAATACCTTTAGATAGGAGCCAGAAGGACTGGCTTACCAATCACAAGGAGATACAAGAATAAAAGACAGGGTGACCTGAACAGTTTGTTACTAGACTCTTTAAACTTCATGGCAGTGGACGCTGCCCGCAGTTTAAACCACTGAGCCTCAGCCCTTTTACAATGAGGGCCAGAGCAACCGTGCTAACACCAGTGAAGTCAGCCGTACACCTCTCAGGAACTGAGATTAGCATCTCTGCTCCCAGCAGGTCTCCGATTCACCTGGCAGCACAGTGCAATCAGAGGAAGGTGTTACAAAACAGAGGTGCATCACGCCCCAGGTCGCCTTGTCTGAGCTTCGATACAGGGTTTACAGAAGTGGTTAAAGAAAAAGGCTTAAATGGAGCCAGGGGGGGTTAAGAAAATAAAGACCCAAAGCTTTTAACAGGCTCTGTCTCTGCCTTGATGTTTCTGTGCAGGGCTGACCCTGAAGACCAGGGGAATTAAGCACAACCAGACCTGCAACTGCGGCTCCTGTCACACATGCCCTCCCAGCAGTTCCGTTCAGGCTCCAACTCCAGACACGACACAGCAGGCGCGAGTTGTTTAAAAGCAATCCTCTTCTACTGGAGCTGAAAAAAATAAATGCCAGCTTAATTCATCTGGCACTTGTGTACATACCGCTAATGCTTGCTCTAGAAAGCATTTCACTACAATAGCAGGCATGTAATCTGTTTTCTGCACTCTGAACTTGGATTATATTTTAACCATCGAGGCTTGATCCAGACTCTGTTGAAGTCAGCCCGTATCCTTCCCTTGTTTCTAAGGATTTTAGGGCATGCCGCCTGACACTGATCTCAGTGCACAGGTGTAAACGCAAAGTCCGGTGTACTTGCAGTCAGAGGTTATCTAACCTTATACCAATGCAACAGAGCGCAAATTTGGCACAGACCCATTAGCTTTGGAGGTCTCGGTGTGTAACTCTGCTCCTTGTCAGCTTTGATTAGACACGCAGGCTCACTGGAGGCTCCCCTTGGAATGGGCGTGTTGCTAATGATGCCACAAATCCATTTTTATGTAATTTATTTATACAGTCTCAGGCACTGGATACTAAATGTCATCAGGGAACAGCTGTAAATCCACTGTAGATATTAACAAAAAATAAAACAATAAAACTCCTACTCCTTTCACCCAGGCTTTAAAAACAAGATCAAGAGAACTGAACATCACCCCACACCAAGGCATAGGCAACCATCCAAATGGCAGCTCACAGACTACTTCCACGGATGGTGGGTCTAGAAATGATGCAATTGCCAGTTAGCTGCTGTGTATCGCACATGGGGAAATTACATCCTCACATCCCTCCGTTTTCCTTTTCCCACTACCGGCTGGGAGGAATCTGAGCTGGGAGAAGGGGCTGATGATGCGACTCAGATCACATTACTTCACACACTAATCTTTGTTCTCCAGTTTCTCAGGGAAATGACACAGGGATGAATGAGCCCTCTTCTATATGGATATAAGGTGACATGCAATAGGCACTAGTGGGGCTTGGGTTTTATGCCTTCCCTTTGTCCCTGCTTGGGATAATTTCGAGTTGTGGTGTAGATAGTCTTTCAAAAAATTTTCTAGAAGTTTGCACTAAGCTTAGGAGGAAAATGATGCTAAGAATTGCCTGTTCCAAAGAGAGCAGGAGGACTGTAAGGGGTTTAGATTAATCCCCTTTAAATGAAAACTTCCTCAGCTTTCATTGATGAATAATGTTCATCATCTACATACTTGTTTGCGTGAATTACCATTATAAGCTCTTTCTTCATAGGGCTCCTCCTAAGCCTGCAGAAATTTCCACTGTTAACTCTCACAACAAAAAGCAGCAAAACCCCAGCTCCTCATTTTCACCTTCTCTGGGAAAGAGGGAGGGAGAGGAGCTGGACTGTGATAAAATACAGGCAAAGTGCTCGTTTGCATTATCTTTCATTAACTTTTTAATTAAGGCAATTCTGCAGGCAAGGAGCCAAAGTCAGAGGGAGACAGAAACAATCCAGCACTAGGGGCAGAAATGTGGCAAGCTGCCAGGTAAATGGAATGGTGGCATGAGACCAAAAGCATGGACATGGGGGGGCATAGTCTGAGCCATAAACTTGGAGTCACACTGGGGAGGAAAACAGTGAACAAATGAGCTGGCTATGCCCGTGCTGCGAGAAAAAAGAGACAGCACCTCGCTCCATGGTAGGTACTTGAAAGCCAGAAAAATATTCCCTTCTAGGGGCCAGTCTGCCATTGCTGGGCAGAGCTGAGCTATTCCAGGTGCTGCGGTTGGAGGCTTCTTCAAGGGTTTGCATCATGGGCTTGTGGATTTTTTGAAGTTGGGGCAATTGGGCTTGTTGCAGGCCAACCCAATCACACATCCTGAGCGTTTCAGGTGCTGCAAAATTGGAGAATACTGTATATTAATGCTCTGGGAAGGCTAATTTAACTGAGATCTTCAGGGGCCTAAGTCAGTTTATTTGTAATGTCATCAGGACTTCTCTGGATTTCTCCCAGTGTGGCAGTGACTGGTGGCTTGCCCACCCTGTGTACAGGGTCCACTCCAAAATCCCTGAGGGGCTTGGAAAAAATTGGAGATGGCACCGGATCAAACCCCAATTGTTCAAGGATAATTTTGAGCTCAAGCTCTAAAAGACAGATTACATCTTTGTTACAGCAATAAACTACCAGCCACAGCAAGTTTTAGCAGTGTCTCTTGCTACTCGTTTTTCTTGCTACATGACTTTCTTCTGGCCTCTTGGTATGTAAATTACCGCTAGACTCACCAAGGCTTACCGCTTCCATTTTTCATGCATCACCCTGGGAGTTTACCTACGAAGTACAACAGCGCAGAGATTTTACTGCCTTAAACTCCCATGTTCCCACTTACTGACACATCTTTTCTATCATTTGATATATCAACTTTAATTCGCCTGGCGAGCTCTGCTCAAACTCAAACTTGCTGCTCCAGATGGTCCCAAAAGCATTACGAGAAAATTTTCCAGGAGATGCACTGAACCCAGGAGGAAAACAAAGCGGTGAAGGTTTGTTCCAAGTGACTATTCTGGGAGGATTAGATGGGGGATTTTTCAAGACTAATCTCTTTAAATGAAAATTTCAGAATTTGATTAATTTTTTAATCTGCACATGGATTTGCATAAAATTACTGCATTACCTCATTCACATTTTGTAAAAGAGAAAATGTCTGCAGCTAGGATGGACCAACTCATCACTGGTCAGCTATAGAGGGTCCAGTACACAAGTGGGTGCACAGGGACAGGGTGAAAGGTCCTTTTGCCCCTGCTCACTGTGGTGCTTCTGCATCCGTAACTGGGAAAGAGGATAATGGTGGACAGAAGCAGTACGATGAGACTGGAGAGCTGCACAGGCAGGCAAGGGAGAAAGTAGGATGGAGTCTGAATACCTTTGTTTCAAGAATATGCTGAACTCTGGGAAACCCTGGAGTCCTAATTTCCAGTGCTCAGCTTTCTGTATGTTTCTCGGGAAAGAAATATGTTGCTCTCATGACTGATTTACTCACCAGGAAAGTGTCAACAGGGTCTCTTTGCCTTTGATGGGGAATGTAGCCTAAGGCCAAACACAGGGACGATAAGTGTTCTGTTCAGCATTTTATATATATAGATCAGTATCATTAGTAAAAAAATTAACTGGATTTGACATATGCATCTTACTAGTTTTTCTAGGTCACACTCTCTTCACTCCCTATACACCTTTTGGAAATGATTTTCCCATGCACTGGGGATTTCAGGAAAGAAAATCTTTTCACTAAAAAATCCTTCTGTAGCTCAATGCAGAACACTACTACCCTGAAGCCAAATCCATGCCAAGTTTACTTCCCTTCATGCTGTAATTTCTCAAACTCCCCATTCTGAGTCAACTTGCAATCAAAGTTGAGAGTCATTTAAAATACAGGGAAGGATCATAGTATTCTTGAGAAAGTAAAATGTTGCCAGCCTTGAGGACTGGAATAATAAAAAGGGGTCAAAATTCAGTACTACAAAATACAAGGTCATGCTCTTTGGGATTAATAGCAAAAATTTATGAGCTCCTCAGTTGGAAATAACATAAGAGGAGAAAGAGCCAAGATTATTAATCAGTCAGAGGATGACAATTATGCCTGCCCTCTAGGCTGAGACAAGAGGCTATGGGGAAAGCAGAAAGAGGCATATGTATTCTGCCTTAAGTGAGTTTTTTGACACCATTCAAGCTGAAGGTGTATGGGCTGGGCAAACACGCTGCTAGACTCGCTGAAAAACAGCTTGACCACTGGGTTCAGAGGGTAGGAATCAGTGGTTCGGGGTCCAGTTGATAGCTGGTATTCAACAGGAGCTCTACTGGGGTTCATGTCACCCTACAGATTCGTTAGTGACCTGGGGGGTAGCACAGAGTGCCTACTTTGGGGGAAGTGCTGGAGGAGCCACCTTCCAGAAGAACCATGATACTCAATGTCAGGACCAACAGAAACCTCATGGTGCTCAGCAAGGAAGCATGTGAAGTTTTTCTGCTGGAGCAGGATCCCCATGCATCAGGGTGGGCTAGGAACCAAGTGGTCAACCAGCTAAAGAGAAACCTAATAGCAGCTACAACTACTTGAAGGGTGGATATAAAGACAGTGGAGAAGAACCCTTCTTGGTAATGGCAGAAAGTAGATGGAGCATTGGCCACAATTTGCAAGTCAGGATGTTCACGTTGGACATCAGCAAAAAGTTCTTTATAGAGAGGGTCACACAGCACTGGATCAGGCCACTCAGAGAAGCTGTGGTCTTCATGCTAGATGGTTTTCAGGATTTGACTAGACAAAGCCATGGCCAAGCTGATCTTGTGCTGGTGACAGTCCTGCACTGAGCAGGAGGATAGACCTGGCAGCTCCAGAGGTCCCTTCTCCCCACACTTCTGTGATTCCATGTTGTAACAGCAGGGATAGAGCATCATGCTTAGTTTTAAGAGCCCATAAAGAGATCTCAAGTTGTAGGATAAAAGTTCTCCAAATAAGCCTCCAATCATAACTGTTACCCACAGAGAATCATCACTCCAGGAGAGTCCAACAGAAGTATATTCACCTGGGCAGTGTTGTTCCCAAAAGCATCTCTCCAAAATTCATGTCCACCCATCTGAGCAAGTACAGGTCAGTCTGTATTGCTGGGGTTGTATCTAATAGGGTTGCAGGTTAGGGTGGTATCTAACATAGAAATGCATAAGTAGAATGTCTGCATATGATCAATATTACTCAGGCAGCAATTAAACATTTTTTCCATTAACTAGTTTTGCAGGAACATTATCCATAATTCCTACTTAATGTGACATTTTGCTGGGAGATCCAATTATCCTGCCAGATAAATTCCAGCTTGGTATAAACTGACAAACTAAGTTCCAATGATGAGGAAGAAAGGCAGAAGAAAGAATAAAAAGGGAGTGACAAAATATCAAATCAACAACCCACGGTGTTACACAACTCTAAAACTTAGCTAAGTATTGTAGGTGTTTTGAAGTAAATTGTCTTATGATGGTATTGGTGAGTCACCTTCAGGGCCCACATGAGATAATCCAGGCTTTGATCATGCAATTTACAGTGTGCAAGAGGCATGCTGCTTTGCCCTTCTGTAAAATCTCTCATCACACAAAAAATCAGTTGTAGGTTTTGAACTGACCTGCAGTGGGGTTAGAGACCCTGAGAGCCTCGAAGTAATGGAGGTGTCTTTTGTTGAGTCTCCCTACACTCCAGTGTAAAAATCATGTCTCCATTTCAACGGAAAAATCAGTGAATCGTTCTGATAAGCCAATCCCACCATAGCATGAAAGGGTGGATTGGGTTAGATGTCTAAACCTGTAACGGTGAACTGAAGTAAGCAAACAGTAAGAGCAAGTAATATGAGAAAATACTTTTGTTTCACTAAACCGTGCATGCACATAAAATAACTAAGCATGTTTGAGTGACATGCAGGCAGACCTTTGACAACAGTTCCCTGACTTACTGTTGTTTGACCACAGGAGGGCAATATTACTCTAAAAGCAAAATCAAACTCTATTCTGAAATGCAATTAACATTTATGAAGGCATCTATGATTTTTTTTTCTTTTGATTCTGAATTCTGTGGGACCGAAATGACAAAAGATCTGGTGCTTCTCTAAAATTAAAATAGCACGGTGCTGTAAACCTTCGGGGGGTGTGTGTATGCAGATTCTTACAGCTACTGTTACACTTCAGGAATAATTTTTTAAGGTTAAGAAGCGATGTACAAAAACATGAACACAGACCCTGACATCAAGATTCGCGATAGAAAAAAAAATCAGTTCCAAGCTGCCTGCACTGAAGTGCCAGCCTCAAAAGCCAAGGCATCATTCTCAAAGGTGAAGCGTGTGCTGCTCATTTTTATCTGACATCATATGTGGTGCAAGAGCGCAGTGCTATAGCTGTGGTGTTTCGGAGGTCAGTTTTTCAAAGAATTAAAAACACTGGGATATAAACAATGTGTAATAACTGAGATGATAATAGGGAAAAAGAGAATGAGAAAGCGCGTGTTTCAAAGGAGGGGACCTACCCCGACCTCTCAGCGGACACGCACAGTCGCCGCTACGGGACCTACCGAGAGGCCGCCACAGGCCACGCGCCCCCAGATGCCGCTTTCTCGCTAGTTACGGCGGGAAACGCGGAAAACCACGTTAAATTCCGTATCGGGCACATTGGGCGCAGCGTAAAGCCGGCGCGGGGGCCCGTGCGAGGAGCGCAGGGCCGGCAGCGGGAACGCGGCTTCGCCTCACGCCCCTCGAGCGACGCAAGGC